GTCAGATGTTTTCTAGCCAAATATATGGCTGTCCATTTCGCGTTTAATGTGAATAGTAAAACAAATATATAATATATTAGAACTTAGTGTTATTCTACTTACTGTTCCCTCGAAGTCAAATTTTCCAATTACTTTTTCTATTTTCTTCGAAGCTGGCCGTTTCAAAGGAGTTGTATCTAAATAATGTAAAGTATAAAATGTAAGCAATTTCGACAAATTTTCAAAAGATTGGTCCCCAATGCGATATACAATGTTTTCGTTCTTCTGAATTTTATTTATTATGTAATTACTAACTTTTGTATCTTCCCTAAATTAATTTTTTTAAATAATTAACTGAGTATATACGACTTTAATAACGTTATAGCACACCTTACACATAAAACGTAATCACCAGCAATAGAGTTACTATCTCGTACTAAAAACACGCCTCGCTCCCTTTCATTCATCAGTACTTCTGTTGCTTCCTGACGTGACATTGAGCCGAAATACCAACTGTCAATAAAAGATATTGGTTTGGATATAATTAAAATTTTAATTGGAAAAATAAACAAAAAAATTGTTTTGTTCTTTTGCCATATACAAGACAAACTTGTAGACACAATACTTAATTTTACATATTTACAATATTTGAATAATTTTTGAAGACTTCACAAAATTATAAAGAAACAGTAATATAATACTTAACTATAGACTTGTTAAAATAATCAGAATCATAATTGAAAATACGAACTCATTTTCAAACAACACAACTTGAGATATATTTATTTTTCTACTAATTGCACACATCTAAATCGTAATTACCGATACTCCATGTAAAAAAATTTTATCTATATTTTTCTTTTAATTTTTAGAAACCACATAGCTTGCATTAACATATATATGTAAATATATGAATAACTGCACTCACTTATATTAACATACATTAGTTTAATGTGTAATTACCTATTTCTATTAGATACATCAAATGTGTCCATTATTTGGCGAAAATACTGTAAACTACGATAATCGGAGTTATAATTGCACTCCTCGTCCCAACAAAACAACTTAAAGGTTTGTAAAGTCAACTAACGAACTAGAACGCTAAGATAACAACGTTGTTATACACAACAGATTTGTTATTGATTGTTGAAAACAATAATTATTGACATAAGTGTGAACATGATATGCTATACAATATCAACTCCATTTGCAATATTACTTAATATTTCTTTGCTTCTTTAATATATAAGATATATAGTAATAGTAGTAGTAGTAATAGTATTTTAGCTTTATTTAGCTTCATTTTAAATATGCATTATTGGAATTTATAACACTTATACATATATAAAGCTTACAGTTATGACATTTTCGACGTCTGACGGAAGTTTGGATTAATCTTTTAACAACTTATATTAAAAATGTGTAATAACATCTGGAATGTCTAATTTAACAATATAAATATTAAATTAAATTACTTTAACAAGAGGGACAAATTTCATATTCACTAATCCATTTATTATCCTTAGACTGTATTTGAACTCATTTTTAATCAAAGCTGTTAACAATCTCTAGTTGAGGTCATTCAGTATTTGCATGATTTCATGGACGCCGAGTGCAAGGTTTACCAAAGTATAACATTCTGTGGTCTTTAAAAATTAGGTATTCGCCTACTAAATGCATTACAGCGGACCAGAAATTGGTTCTCTACAGCAATGATAAACAAAAGTGATCATGGAGTAAGAAATATTAGTCTGCTCAAAATACTTCGAAAATGAATATTCATCAAATAACGTAAACTATCTATTTATTGGGATCATAAAGAAATCATTTCTTAAGCTCCTCCCGGAAAACACCGTTAATTTATAAAGTGAGTTGTCATTTACTTGACAAATTAAATGTTTCACTTAAATAGAAAGTTGTGAACTGATATAAAAATATAGGTATGAAGTGTTCCAGTATGCTAAGGGAAGATCCTACATATGTTTGGTGCCATCCAAAAGATTTGCAGCTTAAATGGGATATATTGTCACACTCATCATATTCTCCTTCTAATAATTATGTGTTTTAATATTTTAGGAGCAAAATATTTGCATCAAATGTTGTCAAAAATTATTTAAGAAAACATATAATACATTTTGTGAATATTTACGGCTATGAATATTCAATAAATTTAATAAACGAAGTATCTTTCGGGGCAATCTTATAAGATAAAAACAAATTATTTTTGCCAATAAATAATGCACAGTATGTCTTTAAAAAAATATTTTATGTGTATGTACTAGTATGAAGTATAAATAGAAGCAAATGAAGTACGCAAAGATGCATCGGAACTGGAAACCGATTAACGTGGACGACCAATGCAAACGCTTAAAGGACAATGATTAACGGATAAGCACCTAGAATATGCAGACCCTCTATAGGAAAGATGCCTCTATCCAACTGTCGGAAGCCGTCAATAAATATAAGACTGACGTCACCGCAAGGTTGCTATAAAAGAGCAAATTGTGATATCTGCTACATATGCCTTGCGAATAGATATGAATTTGATACGATTTTGTGGCTAGCAAGAGACTGTGAATATCAGTCCAAATTGGTGATTCAAATTGGAAAAGCTTACTACAATCCATATCAAGAAAAGTTTCTCATCATCTGTGATCACGAGAGACAGACAAGGACTACACGAATCGTCCGTCAATAATATCAGGATATGAAAAAGGTAGAGAGTCCCCTATACAGACGAAAGAAATAAGATCAATAAAAGGCGCGAAAAGTTAACCGCATCTGTCTGAATCAAGGCTTTAAGTCTGGAGCATAAAACTGTAAGGATGAAAATGGTAATCTGGATACGAGTACGTACTGATGGCACAGGAGGAATATTTCTTTAAACTACTATCTGACGATGATAATATTCTGCCTTTAGAGAAATGCTGTCGTAGCCCCTAAACGAAAATGATGGTGTTGAAATTCCATCACCTATTCATATCGAAGTGCGTGTTGCTATACAGAGACGAAAGAATATGTAGAATTGTTCACGGTTGGCGGCGATATGCTAATAGTGAGCATGCAACATCATGTCTGCAGAATATGGTTGGTTGAAAGTATGCCCAGCGATTGGAATATCAGTACCCTTTATCCAGTTTTGAAAGAGGGAGACCCGACTATATAAAAACGAGTCTTAAAAAGTATATCTTTGTAATGTTACTTACGATAAAAATACCAAATATTCCCTGTGAAAATGATCGAAAAACCGGTCATACAAAATTCGCTCATTCAAGTTTTGGGAATACTTGGCTAATGTTTTTACAATAGAGAAAGTGATAGTAGTGAAAGTGATCCTCCTTTCTCACTAATATCTTATGAAATTCCACGTAACTGAGTTAAAACTTATAGAAATGATTAATTTTGAACTTAAATTAAAGAAATCGCCTGGATTTGATATGATTTCTACTGAAATGTTTTTTCAGATATCTGTCAAATATATCTATAAACTAACTAATCTATAATATAAGTCGTACGACTGACACATAGATGACGCTGCCATTGTCAAATCCATATGTCGTTTATGAAGTACCAACCTTCAAAAGACTATGTGTAAAATTTCATGACATTTACACACAGCTGTTTTAGTGAAGTTACTTTTGTTATTTTCAAAACAATGGATTCAAAACAATTTGTAATTTACTTCGACGTATTTCAGTTGACAGATCAGATATAATATTTACTTTAACTGATTTTGTCAGTGTTGCATAACACGCTCTCTGTAATTTTTTCTGCCAATATCGTAAGTGCTTTGAAAAATAAACCACACGCGTTTGATGGGTATATAGCTTTTGAGGACCAACATTGAATACTTCTGAGCTACAAAGATGTACCGTCATCAAGATACATCAAAATTTCCATGTGTTGTCTGTCTGGCTAACGACGATTCTATACCTTAACTATGTGTTTGATTTCTATTTAAACCGTTATGTGCAGTATTGCAAAAAAAAAGTTAGCCTTCTCAGCTGGTAGCTTCAGTATGTCAGATTCCATTTATTGTAAGCCTGCGAAATGCTTTCAATATATCTCGGATGATGATTGAGGTTCGACACATGTGTAAGGCTGATTCTGCGTTAGTTGGCGCAAATCATCGGGTCACCTCTTTTAAAACAGATTCCCATCGATGTACATAATTCATCTAACCATATTTTGCAGATAAGATGATGCATACTTACTATTAGCATTGGAGTACTAACGGGGCACTGTGCCATTGCACCTATGCTCCAACGGTGACGATTTCCAACTAGTGGATTATGCAGGACTTACCAATATGAAGAGGAGGTAGAATCTTTCAACCACTTCCTGTGTCTCTGTCCAGGACTGCAGACAAGGCGATTTCAATACTTGGATATCGCTTTTTCACTGGCTTGGAAGTGATAATGAAAGGAAACTTATCGAAACTCCTCAACTTCATCTGGAAAACCAAATGGTTTAACAAGGATTACATAGGTTAGCAACTCCCAAAATTTTTGAAGGCATCACAATTGGCAATATGTGTCTCCGAATGAAAGTGCTCACAACTATCAGCACGCGCCTTCCGAACCTAACCTAACCTACTATTAGCATACCGCCGCTAGCTTGAACAATTCTGCAGGTAGCCCATCTGTACCTTCCACTTTGTTGATCTTTAGTCTCTGTATACTAACACGCACTTCCATATGCATAGGTAGTGGATTTTCAACACCATCATTTTCGTTTAGTAACGAAAATTGTCCTTGAGTCAGACGGTTGACTTTTTGATTCTTGTTTCTACATACCTCAATTTTCTCTCGCTCGCACCTTTGATGATCTCGGAAGGTGTGAGGAATCTGGTGCTACATTCTACCATTTATTACGCCGCAGCAAAATTCATCAGCCTTAGACCGTTATTAGATTTGGGTTCATTGAGTGTTTTTGACCGTTTCCTTTATTTTGACCTGTGCGTTAAAATCCCCTAGAACAGTTTCAATAACATGAGACTACGGACATAAATTTCTGCGAGTATCAGCGTAGAAGGTATCTTTGATCAAGTCGTCCATTTCTTTTGAACGACATTGTAAACATTAGGATAAGTATTAGGGTGATATTACAAAATTTTCCCTTCATGTGGATAATAGCAAACGTTTTGTTTGTTTGTGAGAACCCATTAACTGAGTTCGAGAATCTCCTTCTAATCGTTAAATCGCATCCATATTCAACCCTATTCGCATGCAGCTGTAGTTAATATCATAGTTTTTGCTCATAGAGCAGTCTTGTGTAGTCCATCGTATTTACTGGATGATGCGAACGTTAACTTAATATTTATTTGTGGGTTATAATGCTTTTTGCGCAACCTTAATTTAAAATGCTTGGTATAGAACTCTCTGTTCGCACTGTTAGTTCACTTCACCATGGGTGCCAGATGACCATTCACGTGGAGGCTGTGCGACATCTTGGATTGAGGATGACAGAAATTGGGATTCTGCAAGTTATATGCGATCAGACACGTTGCTTGCGTACATACCCGCAGGGCTCGCGGTACCCTCTTAAATCCCAATCCCTACATAACAAATAAGGCAAAAGAAAGCATGTTAGAAAATTATCGTCTAGAGTCTCCATAAAAAATCAACTCAAATCGGTTTACCCTATTAGCAGGTATTAGCAGAACAAGAAATAGAGATGATTCACTTATTATATCATTAAACGCATCATAAACTTTCATTTCAAAATCCAACGTCATAAAGTAGTTTTCCCACAACTAAAAATGGTGTTTGGGCAAAAACAAATAGACGAAAAGCAAATAATGATACACAAATTAATTTTGAAGCCAATTTATAGCACTTGTTCCCGTGAGCATTTTGGCTTTAGCCAATTACGATATTTTTGTGTCAGATTTGGACCCGCAATTTGTGACTGCATTGTGCGGCAAGTTTCTTGATGTCGTTATTAATACTATGCCAACAGCAGTTTTACTAGCGAGCTACTTCATCTTAATTTGGCCTTTATGGATAAGCTTCACGACTAGCCTTCATGGTGAAGCTTCGAGACTGAGTTATACAACGAACGAGATACAACGCCTCGAGTATTGTCTGTCTGCAAACAAATCCAATCATCTC